GAACGGGCACCAGCCCAGACCAGAGGACTTCGTCTACAACGAACCGGACGAGGACGAACTGCGTTTTCTCGAAGAAAACGACATTTCAAAGTAAGATGCCTCTCCCTCTGCATTGCTGCTGTACTGGCGCTGCACTGTCGCTACAGTTACTGTTGTTGTTCGCGTCGTCGCTCTTGCCCCCCCCCAATCTGCTAACACGGTCGCGTCTATAGAGGTCGACGCTTCAACGATGCATCTTTACCCTACCCCGTGGCCCACACGGATACTCAAACAACGCTCTCTAACACACCATCATTCCAAAATCCCACCAAATCAGTCTTCGCAAAATCATCGCCATCTTCAGCCGTCGGCACCCCCAGCCTTGAGGATCAACTGCGCGCTGCCTCTGCCTCGCCCTCTGATGCAATCCAACCCAAGAATATAGTCGACGCATCAATGCCAAGCGACACTATTAATGTTGTCCCTCGGGTAAAGACGCCGCATGTAAAAACGCCCCCTGTAGAAGAGGAGGAGACGAAAAAGGCCAACCTCGAAGCAGCCGATGCTGTCCAGGATGCACGAGATCAGAACGATTCTGCCGCTGATAGCCCTGCTGCAGACCCCAAGGACGTTGCCCCGCCAATGGACGAAGATATAGATGCTTCTGCAACCGAAGACCAGCCCAAATCACCACAGGTCGTACATCTGCCACCGAAAGAGGAGCAAGAAGCCAGACTTCAAGATACAGAGAAGAGGCTGAGTAGGGCTGCTGAAAAGGAAAGAAAGGAAGAAGAGCGCCTTGCCAACCTTCCCACACATGCGTCCATCGATGTATCCTCACCATCATCAACCGTTGGACCGTATTCTCAGGCAACACCACATGCTCAACATCACTCTCCCGACACCAGCCCAGACATGGAAGCCTACAAGGAACGCAACAACGTACCGCTACCGGACGACGATGTCCTCGACCCTGCTGCTCAACAAGTCAAGGAGGATCACGAGCGTGCGCTACAGAAACGAATGACAGAAGCAAGGGAACATGCTCGAGCACGTGAAGAGGACTCTCCCACACCCGACATTGAGAAGCAGCTAGAAGATGAGCAAGCAATACGCATAGCGCGAGACGGAAAGAGCCGCTTAGGCGAATCACAACCCGAAAGCGACGTGCATTCGTTGACAGAGGGTATCGACCATGTTTCACGTAATAATGTTCCAGACACGGACCAGTCGACTGAGTGGAAGACTGCCCAGGATAACGCGGTTGACTCGCTGCCAACGCCAGCTACGGTCGCTGCGGAACCTTCGGCCCTCGACCGTGACAATGCCGACCGCAGAAACAGCCAATCGCAACCTATTTCTGCTACTGTTGATCACCCCACACCCCCTGCTGACGTGGATACCGAGATGCGTGATGCACCAGCGACAGACACGCGGGGTGCAACCTCACCCCAACGACACAACTCTCACAGCGACCGTATGACCACCCGCGTCGCTTCTGGAGTAATCCGACAAAAATCTGTTTCTGAAATCATCTCAGATAAGGCAGCTCACAAGTCCATTCTCACACCTCGTTCGAGCAACCTGTCGGCTTCCACCAGTCCTCCCCGAGCGAGGAATACCCAGCGAAAATCCCAGCAAGTCTCGACTATCGTGTTTGCAAAGAAGACCCCAACTCGAGCATCGAAAGCCCTGCAATCATACAATGAAGACTATGCCTCTCTTCAGGGTGCTTCGGAAGATTCCAGTCGAGATTACCTGGAGGGACTATTCAAATACCAGGCTCATCACCCTCCGCGGTCTGTGCCCTTACAGGACCTTGTTGCATCTGCAAGAAAGACCGTGTCGACAGCAGGGACACTTGCAATGATTCGTGAGCATCAAGACTACAAAATTCTCAAGAGAGTGTATCAGTTACAAAACGCCAACCGCTGGTCTTTACGACAACTTCAAAAGGCAGCTGAACCTGAACGTCCCTTTACCCACCAGGACCAGCTCCTCCTCGAAATGAAGTGGATGCAGACGGATTTCAAAGAAGAAAGGAAATGGAAGAAAGCTCTTGCTGCTACGTTTGCAGAGTGGTGCGCCGAGTACGTGAGCTGCTCACCAGAAGAAAGGGCAAGCCTACGGGTCAATGCACACATCCCGAAGACTGCAAGGCGCACAAGCAACGATGAAGATATGAATGATGCCCCCACGCCAGACCTCGTCCATTCTAGCACGCATGAGACAGAGAGCGAGTCTTACGGCGAAGATGATGATGTTCTCACACCTGTCAACGCCAACCCTCCTGCTGGTCTCTTTTCTCTAGGATACAACGATGTCGTCATGAAGATCAATCGCACGCCTGCCAGCGATACCATGTTCCGGGAGCTACCGCTTTACGATCCTATGTTCGAGGGCTCCAGCGACACCAATCCATTTTCTTTAACGGAACCCCCTATTCTTCCTGTTTCGAAGTTTGTCACTGGAAAACTTGTCTCACAAATCCAAGGCCCACCAAAGAAGCGAAGTAGATACGACTACGACTCTGAAGATGAGCCTTCGACGCCGCCAAGTCGATGTGGAACCTCAGCAGAACATTCGATGCCGTCTACTCCAGGCCGTAGGCTGTTCTGCCGCAATGATCTGCCACCAGAGATGACCAACGTTGCATTGTTTAATGCTGAGAACAAGCACGTCCGTGACCGGTTGCAAGCCGCCCACCAGTTCAGGCCGCCAACAGAGTTCAATATGCCTACTGTGTCTTTCTTCGAGAACCGAACTCCGTCGCAGTGGTTATGGGAGGAAGACCAAAAGCTGCGAGCTTTGGTCAAGGAGTACACCTTCAACTGGTCTCTGGTTTCTCAGCAACTGTCACTACCATCGCTGTTTGTATCTGGGTCAGGTCGTCGGACACCTTGGGAATGCTTCGAACGCTGGGTGCAGCTTGAGGGACTGCCAGCAGAAATGTCAAAGACACAGTACTTCCGCACCTACCAGGGTCGGTTGGAGCAAGCCAATAAGACTGTATTTGCTCAGTTCCAGGCCCAGCAACAGCAGCAGCAGCAGCAGGGACAGACACCAGGCCAGCCACGAAGAAGACCCACAACTACACCGATTAGAGTTGAGAGAAGAAGGGAGAACCGTCATCTTGCTATTATTGACGGCATGCGCAAGTTAGCCAGGAAACGCGAATCTGCTGCCCACAAGCAGGCCGAGTCCCAAAAGGCCGCTGCGCTTCGCAAGGCACACGAGCCTGCGCCACCAAAGAACACCGTTCATACGCCTCAAGAGTTCAGTCGTCTCAAGTGGGAACGCGAAGAGAAGCTGAAGCAACGGCAAATGGCGCAGGAGATGATGGCTAGAGTAAGATACCCCTATCCCGAAAGTTTGTACACTTCTGACGCCACACAGCAACAATTGGCAGCACAACGGCAGCAGGCCCAGATGCAGGCACAAGCAGGGATGGCAAACGGTGTCAGCAACCAAATGCAACGTAATGGCACGCCTGGGGGCAATAACAATGTTCCTCCACAAATGGCTAATGCATCTATGCAACAGGGTCAGAACGGCCCGACAATGGCTGCCAGGGGCCACCAATCTCAGCAGGGCATGCCGGCTAATTTCGGGAATGGCAACATGTCTGGTGTCCCCATGGGCACACCAGGTGTTCCCCAGGCACAGATGCAGGGGAACATGCAGAATGGACAGCGTATGGGCCCGCCGGAACAGATGCGTATGGCAATGCAAAGAGGCCAGTTCAACGCTAACCAACAACATCAATTCCAACTCCAGCAACAACAGATCAACATGGCCAGTAATCTATCCCAGGGCATGGGTATGAACGGCATGCCAAACGCGAACATGATGGCATCCATGCCGAATCAAAACATGAATGGTGCCATGAATGGAAACATGAACAGTGCAATGAACGGAATGTCGAACAATGCCGGATCTCCACGGATCAACCAGGGCAATGGAAACATGCAAACCCCTGCACGTCCCTTATCCAGCGGGCACATGCCTCAACTCCTCCAATTCCAGAATCAACTAAAGGTACAGCATCCGGACTGGACCCCAGAACAAGTCACAAAACAGGCCTCCGACCACCTCTCCCGTTTCCTGGCTAAGCAACGTACACAGGCAATGAACGCAGCAGCTGGATCACCTGGCGTATCTCCTGGTCCACAAATGGCGAACAACCAATACTTCCAACAAAATGGTAGCATGGCCAACACTCCTCAGCCAAATGCGGTACAGAACTATCAGCAGCAACTTGTTCAACAACAGCGACTGATGGCCAGACAGCAAGCCGGTAGCCCAGGACTGAATGGTCGACCGCCTAGTCGAAGCGCAACGCCGCAAAACCCGCAGATGCAACAGAGCCCGGGCATGCAGCAAGCGCAGATCAACCGGACCTAGGTGTCCCGATTGGCAGTAGGGGCCTCGTGCGAGAACGCCTCCTCCTCATCGTTGCCCTGTATATACTTTTAATGTTGCTTGTTTAGCGTTGTTCTTCTAAAGCGTGAGAAATTTGTTTCATGGTGCGCAGTGGAGGAAATGCCTAGTTGAGAAAGCATGGTGTTATTGGCGTTCGGCGGCGCTATTGCGAATTGTAGAGGCAAGGTGTTCTGGGCAGTGGGATTGTGGACACGTGAGGAGGAATTGGTCTTTTTCCAGCTTTTGCTGGCTACCTTGCACTTCCTGTCAACGAGGCTTGTAGAAAAAGCCCGTAGAACTTTCTGAATATCAAACAACTCGAGCATATTGTCGAGGACAATCATCTTAACTGAAGTTTCTTGTCTAGTGATGCTGTTTATGTGAAGTCTGATGTTGTAGGGGATAGGGTCAATTATCATCAATTGAGTTTCTCTTGGTTTTGCGTTGTTATTGTGTCTGGATGTCTGGTTCTGCCTTGCCAAGGAACATGGCCAGGAACTCGGGCCTTTGTGTGGGGACGGACGTTCATGGTCAGGGCGGTGAGAGAGGGCACAAAGAACATCAAGTGCGGACTAACAACCTCACCTCCGAACATCTCCACCCACAGCCACTACACTCTGTCGCAGTCTTCACCTGTGACAAACCGACCATTCCGAGCCAGTCGCCTTACTCAATCCCTTGGATTCGAGTCTTTATCACTCCTCGAATAGAGAAGTTTGCCTCTTCGCCGCCCAAGTCCCAGGCAATCGCGTGTATACACAGGACCAAGAAGAGTAAATCTAAGAAGACAATACTAGCACCATGAACGCGCCAGACAGGTACGTCTTGAGTTTTTGGTTTCAGATGCAATGCAAAAAGCCATATTCAGTATGCGCGGTCCACGATTCTGTGTTCCTCTGGAAGGGCGATACACCGCAACACCTATGCGACGTGGGTCTACCAGCAGCCCGTGTAAACACCTGGACAGCGTAGCCTCTCAAGTTTACGCGACTGGCGCATGTCCACCATACCCTGCGCTACATACATAAAGCTAACCACCTCACCTCCCCCAGATTCGAGCTCTTCCTCCTCGACGAAGGCCAAGAAAAAGTTGAGGAAAAGGCGGAAACCCGTACGTCCTCCCTTCCCCCCTCCCTCCTTATCCCACCCCCGTCTAACCCATCCTACAGGCGTCCCAAACACCGCCGTATTCACCTTCAACAAAGAAGACCACACCCTCGGCAACCTGCTCTCGCAGCGCCTCCTCAAAAACCCCGCCATCATGTTCGCCGCCTACAAGGTCCCGCACCCGCTCTTTGCCACCTTTGAGCTGCGTGTCCAGACCGACGGATCCATCACACCCAAAGAAGCCGTCATGAAGACGTGCAGGGAAGTTATTGCGGATCTGAGCAAGCTGAATGATAGTTTCCAGACGGAATGGATTGGCAAGCGCATTGTCAGTGAGGGCGAGGCGGAGAGGGCGATGAGGGAGCAGAATAATTTTTAAGGGAGATGGTGGAAGGGAGCAGAAGAGCGGGTGGGAGGAGTGCAGGGTGCATGCAAAGGCGTTTTCTTATCGAAGGTGCATGCTGTGATTCATGATTATGGCGTTCTTGGGGGAGGGACGAAAGGCGACTTTTGGACAATACGAATTTATCGAAGAATGAAATATACCTATTTGCGCGAATTTTTGAGCTTACTTTATTGAATTTGTGATGGAACTGCTGTGAGATCGAGACTTACAGGCGAGAAAAGGGGGTGGGTATTACTTCTTGTTAACACATCGAAGACATTACGTCTAAAAGCCTTATGCACATCTTGTCTATGCTTTTAGTTGAACATCACGGCCAGAAAACTGTGACATATCTGTTCATTGAATTTTGTTTCGCATGACAACTACTTTTTACAATACTCTCCAGGTACCGTATTTCGGAATTAGGCGAACATGAGGGAGATAGGTCTATCTACTCCCCATCCTCAAGGTCAGACCACCGACCCGAGGTAGGTCTAGTCGCCAGCGGCACCTCCTGCTCAGAAGCCGCAGTCTTATCTTCTTCACCAACAGCCACAGACTCCGGAGCTTCCGGTACATCCATTGGCGCAACGCCCTCGTCATCCCTTACAATCTCACTACTAGCACTACTAGTCTTCTCTTTCTGTTCTTCCTCCTCCTCAGCTGCCTCCCAGTCCTCAGCCACCTCAACAGGCATCTCCTTCTTCTTTTTCTTGCTGCTCAGACTCAAAACGGCAAAGCCGCCCTTGTTACCAAATGGCGTGCTCTTCTGAACCTGTCGGATAGGGATGCCCTTTGATGCTGCAACTTGGCTCCAGCCAGATCCGGGCCCAACGTCGGATTCTTTGCGGAGAACTGTCAGAGTGGAGTCGAGACGTGCGAGCTGGATCTTGCCAATGCTTTGCGCGTTGAGAGCTTGGGATAGCGGTGCTCGGATGGATTCGAGCATGGCTTGCATATCGGGTTCTGGGATGCTGAGACGAGCTGCTAGAGGTGGCTTTAGCGCGACCGACTCATCAGAAAGAAATGTGATCTCGAGTTCGCAGCGGAATGACGTAGTTGACAGTACACTCTTAATAATAGGAGCGAGTTCCTCTATGGTGAGAGCGAAGCGAGGATTAAGGATAAGGAACGCGTTGTATGGATCAGCATTCGTGGTGCTGGCCTTGGGACGTAGCGTTGCAGATGAAGAGGCAGCTGGAGCTGGTGCAGGAGCGATACGTTGTTGGACTTGACGAGTGCGTGCACACTCTGCAAGCGTTCGCATTGGTGCCATGACAAACTTTGGAGTCTTGAAAATGGCCACATGGCGATGAGGCTCTGGGTCCATACTCTCAGAATCCATGCCAAAGTCCTCTGCAAGTGAGTGTATGAAGGCGCGCTGGTTACGAGGCATGGGCTTGAAGCGGAGTCGTTTCTCCTCCGGATCAGCGGCAAAAAGCCGTAATTGCTTCTCTTGCGTGGCTGCCCAAGTAGAGTTTTGTTGATACATGTTCAATGTGGCATCGGAATAGGGGATATGGTCGTTTTGGTGAGCTGGATCGACGTTGAGAGCAAGTGCTAGAACTCGGTTTCGCTCCAAGCGTGCGCATTCTTCGTCGCACTTGAGATTCTTCTTCAGATTGCCGTCGCTATTCTTTGAAGCATTGCATTTGGCCTCTTGCTTGATTCTCTGGCAATCGCAGGTGACGAAAATCTTGTGCGGGCAAGGCTTCTCTTCTGTACACGGATGAGGGAAGTGACATGGAGCCAAGCATGGATGACCACAGGTGTCGAGCTCCTTTCCGCAGGCCTGGGTGCAAGGCTCTTCACACTCTCCAGGTCGGTGGCATTGCTTCTGGCACTTGTGTGTACCGCACTTGAGAGTTCGACCACACACCTGGCCACAGCGAACTTCGTTTAGCCAACATGGCTGGTTCTTAAGAACACTCTTGCCGCACAAACATGGTTTCGTAGTCAAGAAGGCGCACTTGGGGCAAGCCTGGTCATCCTGATGGCAACTGTGGTCCAGCTGAGGATGACCACATTCTTTGGGCCGTTCGCACTTGAACCGGCAAGGTGGTGGTTTGGTACCGCAGGGTAGAGGAGGCTGCAAGACAGTGCGTCCGCAATTGCAGCTGAGTTCGTCAAAGATGGCATCGCGACACGTTCCGCAAGGACCCTTGTGACAAAGCTCCTGGCAACGGTGCTCAGGATTGCCGCATTTCAGCTGGCGGCCACAGCTGCGGGTACAGATATGCTCTGATTCAAAGTTTTCGAAAGGTCGACGAGGAGCCGAGTCCAGTGGTCTCGGTTTGCGACGGTTGGATTGCCGCTCGGCAGCCTTCTTCTCACCGGCACAGCAGCGTTCGCCACACTCGTGTCGTCCACAGTTCAATGAGACACGGCAGACGCGCATGCACTGAGGAGGCTCTTCGGTACCCTGGTGGCATATCGACTGGGACGACGTACGGCCACACCTACACGAAATGTTGACTTTTTCCAAGCATGGTCGACACTCGCCTTGATGGCAATGTTGACGGCATGTATGTCCGCATGCCAGCAACTGCCCACAGGGTCTATCACAGTTAGGTATCGGGTCTTCACAGGTCGTCCGAGGTGTGCTTGACATGTCGCGCAGTGCAGTCTTGCCACAAGGACAGTGAGTGACTACATCTGGAGATCGTGGACAATGAGGTGCTTCCAGATTCTGTGGATGACATGCCTGTTCGCAGGTGTGCTTTCCACAATCAAAGGAACGACCGCATTTGTTAGGGCATTGAAATGACCCGACCCAGTTCTCTGTCGTACTAGTGCCGTCTGTAGCGACATGCAACTGGCTGCTATCCTTTTCGACCTCTCGGTCATGACACAGAATATCCTTCTGGACCTGACCACAGTAGCAACGTGCTGGTACCCGCTCTTCACAGGCACCACAAGGACCCTCATGACACGGTCGTTCGCAGCGATGCTGTCCGCAAGACATGAGTTCTCCGCAGACGCCACCGCAACTCCAACCATGCTCGTAATCGGTATCGACACAGCGACGTGTCATTGACTTCTTGCCGCAAAAGCAGTGCTGCGTAGGTCCCATCAAGCTGCAAGGCGGACAGGGTCCAGCATGGCATGTCGAACCACAAGGATGTGGACATGGCTTAGGAAGCACTCGTGGTCGTGAACAAGACTGACCGCACGAGAACGGGGGTATGCCAGGTGTGGAACGAGGGTCCAACTCCTTCTCACACCAGCAGTGGAAATTCTTTGGCAAAACATCCTTTGGCAGATTACATCCTGGACAACGCCATTGCCTCGGTGGGGGCGTCTCTCCATCCTGGGCTTGCTGTCGCGCCGCTGCTGAGCCCTCGTTGGTTGACCATTTCTTGATGCATCCCAAATGGAATACTGTCCAACATGTCCTACACGACCAGACACCCCGTGTTCGTCTCGTGATGTCCTCAGTACAGATAGCGCACTCGTAATGACCGTTGTCAATGTCCTCGTGTGTTCTAGTGGCAATATCGGGGGCCGTCGACTTTGGGGCCTGTGGTTGCTTTTGTTTCGGCGGTCGTGGCTTACGGGTAGGAATCGGTTTGCCTGGCTGAAAGGCAGGTGCGTCTGCTTGTAGCCCCTGGAGTGTCTCTGAGGACACGGATGCAGTGTCATCCTCAACAGTCAACTGTCCACCAAACTGACGGCCACCAGCAGCTATTCGCTGGGGTGGACGCTCTGAACCACCTCTTCCACGACCACTGCCTCGTCCTCCACGTCCACCTCTTCCACCCCGGTGTGCCGCTTCCTGTACGGAGGCAGGTACTAGCTCGAGTGCAGCACTAGGCTGCGCATGGGCTGCTGTACCATTGCGGCCTCCTCGACCACGGCTCCTGCCGCCTCGGCCGCTGCCTCTTTGTGACTGCTGTCCTCCTGGTTGCGCTTGCTGTTGCTGCTGTGGTTGTGGGGGGGTGTCTGTGCTGGCATTTACATTTGTGTTTCGATTCCGTTGACCTCGTCGCCTTTGTGGTCCTCTTGGGACATTTTCTGGAGCCGATGCCAGCGGTTGGGAGGCGACTGTGGGAGTCGACATATTTTGTGGTTCAGAAGTGACTGCGCTGGTGGTTGAGGGAATAGTGATCATACAAAGACCTCGGGCCGGAAAAGAAGGAAAATTGAGTACAATAGCAAGCTCTAGTATTTGTACGGCCTGCTGAACTGGGAAAGGAAACAAACAAGAAAAAAAGACAGCTTTTGGGGGTAATACCGGGGAAGTTTGCAGTGGCGAGTAGTTTATATTGCAGAAACGGCGGGCGCAGGTACGCTAGGATGGCCGTTTCGAGAAGATGCAGCCACCCAGATGAGTCAAGTCGCACTCATTCCTCGGCCAGGCCAGGCCAGGCAACCAGGCACAATTGCGGCAGCGCGACTCTACAGGATTAACAATCAGGTGGCGCAGTGATTGCGGATGCACGCAGCCTTGTGTGGCTAGGCGGGTGAATGCGTGGTGAATAATTTATGGAGTTGCCGAATTTCCACGGTCATTTGTTGCATGCATGGGAGCGAGCGCGTCATAGGGTCTGGCCGCCACTGTGGCTAGTGAGCAGATGTGGCTGGCAACTGTGGCTAGTGCCGATGCATGGCCGCCGCATCGCGTTTGAGCTTCAGTGAACATCGCGGACAAGCAACCAGACCCCATCCACCCGCCATCTCCCGATATCATCATGGTCAAGACTCTCGCCGGCGCCCTCGCCCTCGCGGCCTTGCCCTCGGCCCTCGCATTCCGCAACACGTCGCCATTCTTCCTCTTCTCCACGGCCGAGTACGCCTGCCAGCTTCCTGTGCATCCTCACGTCTCACAGCTAACCACCATGCAGCTTGCTGGTCCCAAACAATGACGCCGCCATCGCCGCATCATCAGACGTCACCGCCGACGTCCTCAAAGCTCTCGAGCACTGCCCCACCAAATCCTACCTCGTTGTGGAGCAGAGGGGCGTCGCCGCTGCCGACTACGCTGATGGCCGCGCTGCACCCCAACTGAGCAGATACATGGCCGGCAAGCATGCCGAGGTCAAATCGACTGTCGCTATTCCCGACATTGCTGGCAGCGTCGACACAAAAGCCATCACGGAGCATCTTGTGGCCAAGTGCGGAAAGGGCTACGACGATGACGACGTGTGGTTCGAGAGGAAGACATTCGCAGCGCCGCCTACGTCCAAGGCGCTTCGCATCGAGCAGCTCCAATCTGATGGTTTGTTTCCACATGGCTGAGATGCGGCGCCAGAACTGACCTGTGCAGATGCGACACTCGAGCAATTCATCGTCAATGACGCCAAGGCTGACGACTACACCGTCATTTACATCACCACACCTCAGACCGAGTCGCAAGCAAAGGAGTCTATCCAGCAACAATACGAGATGGACATGCCCTTCCCAGATGCTGTTCAGATGGAGCTCAAGCGCGACCTCTCCTCTCACACTAAGCGCGCCAACTCGACCAATAGCGGCCTGTTTGAGAGGTACCAGTACTTCACACCGGGCATCTTCATGGGCTTTGCTGCCATCATCCCGCTCTTCCTGATCCTGCTTGTCGGAATCCGAGCCCTTACCAGTCTCGAGGTTTCATACTTTGCCTTTAGCAAGGAGATGGGCCCCAATGCCCAGAAGAAACAGTAGACAGTGTCAGAGTCGGGAGCGAACTTGTCAGTGTATCTTGTACGATTTGCGCGTTAGTAAGCATGGGCCTCCGGCGTTTGTATGGATTTTGGATTAGTAGGGAAATACCAAGCTTGACATAACTAGTTTTTGCTTTGCCCGTTGGATTGACTGCAACCTTACAGACGCCTGAGATTTGTGAACCGTCGGATAAAATTGCGCGCCGTGCTTCCATTGCTACCACATTTGCTTCTTGGAGCCATACGACATGCACAAAGCCGGGTTGTTCGGGAACTCTGAGCTAAGCATCATGTCTAGTCGGTTCCCCAACTTTGCCGAGATTTCATCCTACCCGCACCACCCATAATGACGATGAGCACTAGTTTGAGAAAACAACCCCATGCATGGCACTGATGTATAAGTGTCGTCCCGCCTAGTGGGGTGCACTTTGGTTTTGCTTGAATTGTGACTTGGATGGCAACTTGAGCATCATCGCATTGGCCGTAACTCAATATCTCTTTGCATATGCCTATTCTTCCAGTCCTTCCAAAGCTCATTGATTAATAGATCCTGTTCATATACCTCATTATGGCCTCAGAAAAGCCTATGGATATCATTATTCTGGGTGGTGGTATAGCCGGTCTCACCACTGCTCTTTCCCTTACAAAGTTCGCCCCAGCCTCCCAGACACCCAACATCACCATTTACGAGATCCGACCTGAACCCGCAACCATCGGTGGCGCCGTAAATCTGACACCAAATGCTCTTCGTCTTCTTTCACATCTAGGAGCACTCGATGAAATTCGTGCCCAAGACTATGGCGCAGAGTGCCTTGCTGTAGAAGTCTTCGATCTATATACCAACGCGAAGATTGCCGAATCATCTTTCAAAGGCCCCGAAGGGAAAGGCCTGGGAGACCCACCATTTACAGCGCTGCGAATAACAAGAGGAGAAGCCTTAAAAGGCGTGCTTGCCGCCATTGAAAAGCACTCAAACATCCAGCTCATCTGCGGGAAAAAGACCACCAAAATCGATGAAGACTCCGCCGGCGTAAGCATCGAATTCGAAGACGGAGGAAGCGCGCGAGCCGACATCCTCATAGGCTGCGACGGCATCCACAGCGTCACACGCCTCAAGCACGTCGAGCCAGAGCGCAAAGCCATGTACAGTGGCATCTGCAACGCCTTTGGCTTTGCTCCCCGCCGCAAAGACCCCAGCACGGGCACCTTCGAGCCCACGCATTTCAGCGTCAGCGGTATGAACTTTGGGCGTCGCGGCATGCTCCTAACCTCCTTCCACGACCGCGCCCAAGAAAGCATTTACGTCGGCGCTCTCATGCAGGTTCCTGAGATTGCAGACCGCAACGGCTGGAAAGCCGCGGGTGCCGATGCACAGAAAACGCGGGATGAGATGCTAGAGCGCTACTCGGGGGCTGCGAATCCGCAGATTGCGCATTGGATTGAGGATGCAGAGGGGTTGTATCTTTGGCCGGTGTTTACGCTTTCCAAGGGAGGTAAGTGGGCGACGGAGCGTGTTATGCTTATTGGCGACTCTGCACATGCGATGCCCCCGCAGGGAGAATCGACAGGTATTGTTTTTGAAGATGGTGTGTTGTTCTCGAGGTGTTTGGCCAAGTGGATGCAGACGAGGAGGGGGGAAGGTGCGCCAGTTAAGGAAGCGTTCGATGCGTATGAGAGGTTGAGGCGGGCGAGGATTGATACGGCATTTGATGAGAGCCAGAGTGTGGTAAAGACGGTACAGGATACGCCGTGGTTGGGGCATAAAATTAAGATGAATGTCGTGCCGTGGTATCTTTGGTGGACAAGGGGGTATCGCGAGAAGCATTTTGTGGAGGATGTTACGGTTTGTGATATTGGGTATTGAGGGGTGAGGAGAAGGGAAGTCGTCGTTTCTATTTATATCTTGAATGAATCAAATGATTGAAAGTTGTTGAGACAATCAAATAATAGTTTTCTTCCTCTGGTTATACATTGGCACGACGTGTATGTTCAGAGCCCTTGCCCACCACTACCACAGCATCCTGACATACGGAAGAAGCTCAAGTGATTCCTAATGCACGAAAGGGCATCGTCTGATTGGCTTAAGGACCTTTGCTTCGATTCGTCAGATCTACGCCAAGATGTTATGTAGTATGAATTCCCTTCTTATCTACGTAGCGCTAGAATATGAACACTGGCTTGCAGTAAAGCCTGAATAAAGTTTCCAAAGGAGCTAGATAGAGCAGCACAAACGAACCTTGATCTGAGGTGTTTTTATAAATCTGAAGAGAAAAGAAACGGACTTACATATCGCAGATGATAGTCTCGAATTTTATGTGAGAAATTCGTTGGCTGGAGAGGATGCAGAATCAGTGGAAAGTCGAGAACTCCCAGTCTAATGCTGCTCGTGTACTACGCACAATATGATCTCCCTGCAGGATTTCATATTGTTCCATCCCTTGCTCAAACACCCCTCTTCGTGTTACTATTGTTCTCCTGTCCGTACTTCGCCACACCATCACTTCGACTTTCAAGATAATTGGCCTTTCTCTTATGTTCAATTACTTGCATTGAACATATAATTCTCTCTCCTCTTTCACTTGATTTCTCCATTTTCAATATCAGTCTCTTCTCTTCTCACTGTCCGGGGTGATTTGCGATTCACAGATCTGTATCCGCTACTACGCCTCTCCTATCATTCTTTTGCTAAGATTCTCTTTTACGAAACACAATAAACCTCCTCCGATATCAAAACTCTCCAAAACAACCAAGATCCAAACCACACCATGCGCCCCTACTTCGACGCTTCGGAACTCCCTTCCTTCCGCACCCTATCCGCCAGCCACGAAACCCGCGCCTTCCATACCTCCACCGCCCTCCAAATAAACTGCGCCTTCGCTCTCTACTCAGCCTCCTTGAGACCTCCTGCACAAAAGTCGCAACCCCTCCCTCGCACCAGCCCTTCCAACCCAAAAACATCCACAACTACCTCATCTCACCCCACTTAAACCACACCCCCCCCCTTCCACAACTCACGAAATCTTCTCCCCGACCACCTTCCCAAAATACTCAAAACAAAACTTGCCCCCGACAAAGCTCGTCGCCATCCATTTCCACCACGCGCCGCTTCCGAAACTCACCCCAAACTTGGACAACTGTGTTGTAAACCACGCGGTTTCGACCAGATGCGCAATGTATAGAAAGTAGTAGATAGAGTTATGAGTGTACCGCAGGTACCGCGCGACTGTCGCCGGAAGAACAGTTGAGGAAGGGAGGAGGAAAGAGGGTGTGGGGAGGGCGGACAGGGCCATTATTACGCCGACGACGATGATTTTGTTTCGCTGAGGGGAGGGTGGGGGGATGTAGGTGTTGTTGAGTGATTTGGGAGGCATGATTATGTTTTATCGTTTGGTTCTTTTGATAGATTTTCCTTTGGGGCGATGTTGCGATCGGGTTTGTTGGTGATGGCTTGCTGGGTTGACGATGGAAAAGGCTTGGCGCTGTGGTTGGTTGTGGTGTTTACGGTTTGAGTTGGGAATGGGAAGAGGAACTAGGTGGAGATGGGGCTTTTGGCTTAACGTGCATGTGTGTATGTTGATAGCAATGTCATATTACGGACTAAAAGTGACGGGTGGGTGGTGAGGTTTTCTGAGGGTGGTTTGTAATAGTAATGCGGGGAAGACATTGGAGACGGGCCGAGGTTCTTGGGGTTTACACTTGCATATGAAGCTGGACGAGCAGTTTGGATGCTTTGAAGAGGGATTAGCGACTTGGTAGACTAACCACGATGTGTGCACTTCGATCTTGGAAATCAATACTAGGATTTTTTCCGGTATTTTTCGTTATGCTTTCGATGAATGCCATATCTTGTTGCGGGCGGCATTGAGAGATCAGCACACTACCGGCGCTAGGTAGTAGCCGCCTCGTATAGTAACATTGCAGTGGCGCAAGATACTTTCCGGATGATGGCCAGTAGCGATGCTGTCGGCACCGTAGTCGAAGCTTATGAATAGTTGCATTGAGAGGCTTACTGTTTGGGACTTCATTGGTGGGCAAAGAAACTCAGCCCTGAAGTTCAGTGACTAGTTGTCTTTTATTTGTAAACATCAAGTGGAATTCTACACCATAGAGTGATGACTTGAACGCGACAAGTCCCGTATGCCGATTTTGGATCATGGTGTGATCAACACGGGATATGCAATGCACCAGCACGGGCTGCCCCGATGGAGCGCAGCGCTGAACTCATAGCCGTTCTGCCCCTAAAGCGTATCGTCTTTTCTCCACAAGAACAAGCCATGAGGTAAAATGGAGCAGATCTCAGATGAGACGTTGACTGGCATGTAGAGACAACCGTCTAACAAACTGCTTGCCAAAATACTCTCGAAGCCAAAGGACTTAATTCGGGAGCTGTCCGAATTTGACTTCGATATCTACATCCCAAGGCAAATCTCGAGCAAGTCAAAAAAATACATCCCTCTGGACCATGAAATCGTTATCGCACATGCGCAACAAACAGAAACCACTCAAAACCACAAGTCATGTGCACTCACCGGTAGCTTGCTTCAGCAAAAAACTACACAACAGCCCAAAGAGCCGCAACCTTTTAATACCGATTACTGAGAAAAAAAACCAGAACCCAGTGCAAGCCCAATAGTAGACGGACCAAAAAAAACTCAAGCAACCCCACATCCTAGTAGTAAGTAACCGGTCCAATCTATGCACACGCGCACACACATTACTACCAAGTCTCCAACCCAGCACGTCCAATTTCCTCATGCGGTAAATGCAGCATAACAACCATTGATTCCTGGAACGGCTGCAAACACCATACTAAGGGCAAGCCTAGCAAGCCAGCTCCCCAAGCGGGCGGGAGGGGGGAAAGGGTACGACGTCATTGGTTTGCTGGACTAGGGGGGGAGGGGACCGGTCGGCTGCTGTGGAACGGGGGCGGCGGGCCACCGTCTATGCGGCCGGCTTGGAAGGAGGGGGCTGGTGGTGCGTAAGTAATATTTGGTGCTAACCGGACATTGATAGAAAAAAAAACATGACCCTTGGAAGTGCAGGTCGTGGGTCTGGCGCCAGGAGGGGGGTTGCGGTGCTAACCGCTTGTGTGTTGTGGAGGTTGGGGTGAGACTGGGTTTGGATGGGAAGTTTGGCGTGAGAAATGTGTTTATTGGGGATGTGTGGGAAAGTTTGTTCTAGTGTTGGTCTTTGCAGGCGAAGGTTTTGCTTCTTCAATGCATGTATACGAGAGGAAAGTAGTTGAGGCGGAGCTACGCCGAAGCGTGCAGTTATCATGTGTGTTTGTGTGCAACCTTTTTCAAAGGTATCGAGAAATGACGTTATTTTTTTCCTTTTTTCCTTGCCAAAGCCGACTGCTTCATCTATCCCCTACAGGTCAACCATGCATCCTAGTAATAAAATGGAAGGTTTAAATCCATTCAACAAGACTTTACTGCAAGCACATCTGCACAAGTACCATCACACCACACATATGACGGGCATAACAAAGGCACTCCCCCTACGGGAAAGCAAGATTCCACGGACGGCAACACTACGGGCCAAACCCACACATACCCGGCAGATACAAATGCAAATGCATGCATCCTCTACGCCGGCCGCCTCCGCCAGCCCCAGCTCGCGGAAAGCTATTTGCCCGGCGTGCGCGCGCCGGCACGTGCTACTCCAATGCCGCCATCATCCCCCCCACCAACGGCGAGCCCGCCCATTAGTCTCCTGCACATAATTCACTTTAAACACAAGTCATGCCGCTCCCCTAAGCCCCTTCAAAACAGGGAACATCCCCCCAGCGGACACGCCCTGGCTACGCGATACCTACATGGGCCAAGGGTCCGATGTGCGCATTGCATATCCACCTTGCTGGCGGAGGGACCTCGCCGTACGGGCCAATGGCTGTGTGACAACGCCGAGGGTGGGTGCAGGAGAGAGGCGAGGCCAAGAGGAATACGGGGCTGTTCATGGATGATGCCTTGAGGCTCACAGCGATCGATGGGGAGTGTGGAAAATTGCTTGATAGGGAAATATTGGGTGAGTGGGAGAGAGAAGGTGGAGCGAGAATGTCGTAAGTAAAAGAACGATGAGTCGCAATGATTCGTTCGTTCACTGGAGAGTTATTTTTTGATGCACTGATTTGGGAAGAGGGGATGTATATGTGGGAAACCATTGCGATTCTGAATATTTACAAGGTAAGGTAGAAGAGGTATTGCGCTTATTTGTGTCACACGTTTCTGGGACCCCGTCCTTTTTTCCAACAAACACTACTGTTGCCAAATTCCGCCCATTTTCGCAACGCAACGGGAAAACCTACACGGTAGTGACGTTCTTGCCGTTGAGCACGTCCAAGAATGCCGTATAGGCGGGTTTCTTCTGGAAGTTGTCATTCCACAGCAAAGCCGAGCCCTCGCCGTTAAAAGTGCCAGGAACCCAAGAGTACTTGTCGGCAACTCCCTACAAATCTTTCGTCAGCCTTTTTTTTTTTTTAAAAAAAAACCTCCCACCAAACCGTTCTTTTCTTTCTCTCCCTTTCACCATACCCAGAGCAAATAGAAAGGCAAGGGAAAAGAAATTAGACGTACCCAAACAGTCATACCAATGCACCTCTGAACATTAATACAACTCTGCGCCACCCTCGCCCAAGCCGCTGCCGCATCCGCAAGTTTCTGGCTGTTACTTGGGTTCCTCGAGCGGATGTCCAACTCGGTGTATGCAACATCCACGTTCAAATCAGCATAGTCTTGCAGCACCTTTGTTAGGACTTGGACGCTGGGCGTGACGTCGCTAGCCGTGTTCGTAGGCTCAGACACCAAGTGGCCCTGCAGACCGACGCCATCGATTCGGACGCCCCAGGACTGGATCAGCTTGACGATGCGGAGGGCGCCGGCGTGCTTGGCGCTGCCGTACTCGAGGTTGTAGTCGTTGTAGTAGAGTTTGGCGGATGGGTCGGCGGCAGCGGCCATGCGGAAGGCGATGGGCATGTATTGTTCGCCGATGAGGCGAAGGAAGACGTTGTTGCGGTTTGTGCCGTCTTCGTTGAGGGCTGTAGGTTTTTTTTGTGAGATTTTGTCCAGACGTTCTAAGCTATCGGGGGGGTTGAAGGAAGAAAAGTTGAAAGTACCTTCGTTGACTACATCCCAGTGCGTGCACTTGCCACGGTATCGGCCCATTACCTGCTTGATGTGGTTCTCCATCACGCTCATGAGTGTGGCGTTGTTGTTGATTTGGTTGACCCAGTTTGGTAGCTGGCTGTACCAGACCAGTGTGTGGCATCGCATTTGCTTGCCATTCTGCGTGGCAAAGTTTGCAATGGCGTCGGCGTTGCCCCAGTTGAACTGGTTGCGGTTGGGCTCAGTGGCATCCCACTTCATTGCATTCTCAGGCGTGATGGAGCCGAATTCCGAGCTGCGGATGATGTTTTGCTCCGTGTTGTCGTTGCGGATGGTCAGTGAAGTGCCAATGTAAGAACGGCCTCGAGCACGGAAAGCAGCATCGAGAGCGTTGGCTGTTTGCCTGACTGAAAGAGGCGTGCTAGAGGCAACGCTGGCGAGCGCCAGAGCAGTGGTAAGAATTGAGAAATGCATCGTTGACTGAAACTCGGTGAAGTTCTGTCTGTTTGCTCCATGGGATCGTTTCCCCATTTATACAAACGTATTCACCACACATGATGGTGGGAGAAATCTCGGTTTCTCCCTCTTTCATCTACACGTTACCCGACTCGATCTGAATAACCGTCTTGTCATGAATACGAGAGTGGAGTTCCCCATATGACTGTTTTACATAACGGCGATCACAGTGCTTAGACTGGGTGTGGATACACCATGTCTGCAATCGCATTTTGCCCAGCCAGTCAGCGTGATCTGGGCCCATAAATTCCCTGAGTAAGGAGGAGAATTGAGCCAACTGTAAACATTGTCTACAACCCTTAAGATTGCCAACTATAATGCAGACCCAAAATATCGCTGTGCTGAATCCAGGGACACAATCTGGTTGGCGAAGAGGACGTTTGACACCTATCTGTTATTGGTTGGACAAATATGATTGCAGTCGTGGTGTAGGTGTGCATATATGGGGTAGTGTGTTTTGCATCGGGCAAGGCGCCACATGGGTCTTTTCGGAGATATTAAAAGATGGGTTTGAAAAACAACCGATGGGCTTGGTATCCAACTCATAGTGCGGGGAAAGGGCAAAGCTTTAGCCCTGGCTTTTAACCTCTTTACCCGTTGTTATCTGGCCCAACACCATAACCGTACGTCTGCAAGGAACCGCTATGGAAACAACAGTGAAAGGCTTGTTTGCAACCCTGCTAGCTTCTACGCCCTGGACTTCGGTTTCACCATCAGGCCTTGAAGACTGGCTACACCGCCAACAGCCTGATATTTACCGAGCTGCTTGATGTCAAAGTCGAACCGGCGGATAATCTTCATCAGTTAGCATTCGTATATGTGAGGCGTCATCTGCCTTGCAACGTACCTCTGGCAGCAATTTGTGAGACTCCAGTATTGCCACGTCTTTACCCAGGCAAACCCGTGGTCCAATACCGAATGTGAAGTTAACCGCCTCCATTTCGAAATTTCTTTGCTGGCTCTCTAGCCATCTCTCTGGTTTAAATTCATCGGCGTCTTCTCCGTAGAATTCTTTGTTTCGATGAATCGTATATGCGTAACATGTAACCTCAACGCCGCCAGGTACAAAGTGGCCGTCAATGACTTTTCCACCCTCTGGAACTTCTCTGGCAAATAGGTTTACCGCTGGAGGCCCAAGACGAAAACTCTCCTTGATGCATGCCCCGAAGTACGGGAGATGCTGTTTCATCTCGTCGTAACGGATTGGCGTGGAAAGAAGGCCCTTTGAATCAGCCGCTTCCATCTCCTCTCGTGCTCGTGCTAGGACCGAAGGGTTGCTGAGCATGTACTGAAGGGTTACACCCATTGCCGTACCCGTTGTGTCAGCTCCAGCTAGAATAAGCAGTGTGACCTGACTGAGCTTCTGGACAGGGGCCAATGGAGAACCATTCGAGAAGCGAGCTTCCAGGCAGCTGGTTATGCTTAGTCGACTGTCCTATATGCAATCTTCACATATGACTTACTGTTGCAAGAAGTCCGGCTTCCCCTGAAATTTCTCCTCGGCAATCAGCTTCTCACGAGCAGCTATCTGCCTCTCTGCTTCGCCCATGAGCCAGCCCATTCCTGCCTCGTCAGTGGTAGATGGAAGAAACAGTTTCGCCATAAGAGGAAGAGACATTATGTGTTCTCTGAGAAACCTGGTTCTTCCCAAACCTAACATGGGAAGACCCTTGCGAAAGTTTCTAATGAATTCTCTCTCATCGCGCTGGTTTTTGACGCTGCCAAAGGGCTCAGAGAATGATATCATGCTGAGAATATCAACTGCAAACTCGGTCATTTTGTCGGATAAACATATAGTGCGTTTGGCCTCGGCATGTTCATGGAGCTTGGTGATGAAGAGTGTAACGAGTTCGTCGAAGCGCGACTCCCATGCGTTCTTCAGCGGACCAATAGTCCACGGACCGTTTGACAAAGCTTTTCGCAATGCTCGGTGTTCTTCACCATCTGCAATCGTGACCAGGTTCGGGGGGCCTTTGATACGCAATGTTAGTACGTGAACTGTGTAAGATTTATACCTACACTAACCTAGAGCTCCGGATTGATAGATTCCACCCTTGCGATTCAACTGGTTGTCTCGGTAAATGTCTTTCAAGGCAGATGGCCTACAGAAGAGGAGCAAATAAGGAGATACGCGAATAGGTTGCTCCGCTGTGGGACGTTAGACCTTTGTTACCATAAGGGATCTGGGAGTCGCCTTACTTCCGTACACTTTCTCAAGATGCGCAATCCACTCAGGTTCCTTGCGAAGAACCGAGATCATGGCACCTACGATAGAGAATGAAGTTGCATACCATGGCCCATGAAACTTCGCAAGGGGATGGAGCTTTTGCATGTAGAAGATGCGCCATAGCAGTCCTGTAAAGAGTATCCCAAGTGATAAAAGGCCAAGGTTGAGCGGCTTTCCAGCGAACTCCGTCAACGCTAAGATCGCCATGATCGTTGAGATGTGGATATTTAGAGTTCAGGAGTGCCTTCAAGTACTAGCTTGGTGTTCCTGAGTTTTCTTGATGCGATCAAGAATCAAACGCAGCATGGACTTATAAGGTGCGTTACTCCTCACGTAAAAGACGCACCTACTACTTGCACATGCATATTGTGATTTGTGGAGCTGGATATCTTTTCCCCTCAAAGTGCTGATTCAGCTACGTTCTTGAGTTTCAAGGCCTGCTTCACCGATGTAGACGTCCAGCTGATAGGTCGGCCCGTGTCGTACATCGGGCATGACATACAGCAACTTGCCAAACCGGGGTACGGAGACTTTCCAAATAGGACGGTCCATGCCGTCGAGGTCCACTTCTATTTGGCCACATCGGTAAGCATGTTGAGCACTACATGCAACGTCGCTGATTTGCCGACACCATGCAGGGATTATGTGCAAAATATGTGGGAGGATCCCAAAGGCGCGCATGACGCCGGACTGGCCCGTAGCGTTGAGATGCATCCAAGACTTGGTTCTCTGTTCATTGAGCGCTTAGGGGGCCACGATGAACACACATGCATATGTATGTTGTCAGTCCTGGTGTGCGGGTATAGGATAACGACAAATGAACGAATGAGGAGGGTGTGGTAATTTGTCCTGACAGGAAACATGTGAAGCCACCATCTTGATGGAGGATCTCAAGGCTGAAATTTTGTCTTTTGATTGGTTATATCGCTGTGTGAGTGACTGGTTGTGATATGACTTGGTATCATGTGTTGCGATAAATCGTTCGCCAAGTCTTGTTCAGGCCTGTCATTCTCGGGAGGCGTCCCGAACTTTGGAGCCTATCAGTCCTTGAAGCCGAGCCGAAGCGGGTGTTGCGTCATGTCTAATGCGGACTTCTGATAACAAAAGCCAGCGTACTTGCCTAGAAGCTTATCTTGTCCTCAAACTTATCCGCAATGACCGAAATCAATCCGCTCGATGTACTAGCAATAAAGAACGTGGTATCACGTTACTGCCAAGCGCTGGACTCGAAAGACTTTGAAATGTTAGGCGAAGTGTTCTTACCAGACGTTCAAGCAAACTATCCTTTCAACAACAATATGAAAAGTGTAAACGAGGTGAAGAATGCTATCAAGAATCGGTATTCTCTAGACCCTTTTAGTGGCCGTGTATTTTGTCAGAATCTAACCGCATTACTTAGTCTTGGACCAGTCCGCACACATCATAGCCTTACAACGCAAACCATCACTTTTAGGCCTGATGCGCGCACGGCGCAAGTGGAGACATATTTCCAAGGAGTCCATGTGAGTCATGATTGAGATTCCCTCTCATAATGCCGACCTGCTGCTTTCAAAACACCTTTCACTTACAATTCTGCGTACATAGTTTGGACAGGGTCCACATGAGGGCAAGATGCTGTGCGCGTACGGCAAGTATATTGACAATGTGGTGCTGCTGAAAGCAGAAAACGACGATTGCGAGGGTAAGCCATCCTACCAAAACAAATCAGTATAAACTGAAGCATAGGCTTATAATACCCACGATCCTAGGTGTGCGTGGTGCAAGCGGAATTTGGAGAATCACGAAAAGGACGGTGACCTTTACCCAGAGGATTGGCGATGAGAAAATTATGCAGGAGCATTGATATTCATGATCGTATAGTCTTCTGTTTTCGAAAGGAAGAGCCATCATCGAGGCCCTCTTGCCTTGGTATCCTGCAAGTGAAGTAACAGTGCGCCTTGTCTCTGGTTCTTTCCATTTGCAAGCAACTTCTGATAACCACACAGAATACACTCTGTGCCTGCACCACCGTCATCGCCATCGTCAATCGCATCACAATCACACCATCTTTTAATACATACTACATCATAGTCTTACTAACATCGATATCATGGCTCCTAAGGCACACCCGCTACCATTCAAACCTGTCAGTGCAGGAAAAGCGAACTTCGAAGGGCAGAGAGCTGCCATTCGACAGAACATCGAGATATTTAAAACCAGGGAGGATCATCCCTGCAGGATTTTTAAATATCTCGTGGCGGAACTCTATGCCCGAAGTGAACGCCAGGGAGAAGACGACATCACAGAAGAGCAACATGATATTGTGGAAAGACTCAGAAGCAATTCCAATGATTTCAATTTGCTCTATGGTGGAGACAGCGATTTCGAAAATGAAAGCGATCAGATGTTTGATGTCGAGGACGAAGCGTATCTGATATCGCAAAGAGACGAGATCATTAAACAAGTCATAGAACAGCTTGATCAACCTATAGTCATGCGCGACGATGTCGAAGCATCATCCTCCCCGGAATCGACTATCCTTGAAAAGGCGAGAATTCTGGACCCAACAGAAAGCTTCGCGGCGCAATATACGGAGGACGAAATCAGTATCATACGTGGTCTTGCAGATTTGACCGGTGCACCATATCATCGAGCTGAGCAGTGTTTATCTGCAGCCCACTGGGATTTGGAACTCGCTCTATCATACCTTGAGGAAGACCGACCCGCTTCGAGTGCTGGAGGCCTCACAAAAGATCAAAGTGATCGTTTGATCACATTCATTCAGGATAGGCCCGTACAGCATGTATCGGTGGGATCGAGTGATGGCGCGAAAAGACGGGCTCTAGGACCGCAGGAGAGCGTCAACTTGTTCACGGCACTTTTTATCAAGTTACAGCAGGCCAAAGATCAAAGGCCCACTGCAAATAGACGAACCGAGGAGTTTGAATGTGCTGGCATTAAAACAAGAGTAGAGGAGGTAATTGGGGAAACCGACCCAGATTCGTCACACATTGAAGCTGCATACACAGCACCCGCGAATAAGCCAAAGATCACAACGAAGCGCAAACCCAAAACGCGAAACGGCATCTCTCACACCGGCCTACCTATGAGGCTCGATGCTACAGGGAATGTCACCTCCCGCACCGGCGTCCAAGGAACACCATACCAACAATACCTCCAAATGCGACGCCGTCTCCAAATCCAACACTACGGACACGAAGCTGTTCCTTCCGAAGACCCTCATCGCGGCGTACCGACCAGAGAACGATGCCCACCACCCCTCGTACAGGAAGCGTCCAGCGACGAGGAAGACGATAATGCCATTGTTTCCGAACACGAAGACTCGGACGACGAACTCCAGGCCATCATAGAGGGACTTATAGCCGAACAACTACATGAAGCTACGAAAGAAACCGAAGCCGCGTAGACCGCGCATGTCAAGGATATCGCTAGAACCGCCAACAAAGTTTCAGTAACCGGCGATGAGGTGGACTCCGTAATTGGCGACGAGGCAGACTCAGTGGTCAGCGACCTAGAAGGAGATACCTGTGTCAACTCTCCCGCCAGCGACGATGCTGGCGAAGATCAGCATCGCACGACTCTCTCACTGAGAGACCCTTCCCAACCCAAGAAACTCTACATGAAAGTTCGATTTAACGTCGGTGGTGTCAAAAATGAACCTCGCACGACCTCCGCACTAAGAGATCCATCTCAGCCCAAGAAACTCCATATGAAAGTCCGATTTAATCTCGGTGGCGGCGTCGAAATCGCGCCAGGTGAGTCGAGTGACGAGGCTGCTGCGACTGAACAAGTGGAAGAAGAAGAAGAGGAAGAGAGGGGGAGGCGTGGGATGGGGCTGGAACGGGAGACGGAGGCTGATGAGGCGGAGAAGAGGAGGAGGTTGTTTGTTTCCGATGAAGAAGATGCGTGGGACGGGACGTTTAGTGATGAGGAGTTGGATGTGGATGAGGAGGGAGAGGACGAAGAAGGTGGGGAAGAGGGTGAAAGCGAGGGACAAGGAGCTGAGGAGAAAGATGGCAAAGGAGATGTAGGCGAAGAGAGGGAAGATCAGGGCAGGGTGGATGAGTTGATGGACGATTGAGTGAGATGTGTCGGAGACGTGGTCAGTGATAGTCTTGGGACATCCATTGAGCGAATCTGGGTAATCTTTCTAGACGCGAAATCAAAGGGTTTCATATGAGCATGCATATTCGTCTGACACACTGCCTTTTCATATTCACAACAATCACCATGACAACGGTCCAAAGCACTGGTGCCATTAATAGAGACAGAAAGAGGAAGCTGTATTTGCAAATAATGCACGGGTATTGACTACATATCGGTAGTGAATCGTTAAGAAAGAATCTATATAGGAGGAGACCGCGCCAGTAATGTAAGTATGTTTGAAACAAGAGCCATAGGATGAGACTCTGATTGCGTCTCGTCTGTCGTTGTAATATTATTCACTTCCTCAACCTGAGGGCACATTTTTGTGTATAGTGAAATCCATTCTTACACGCAAGTCGTCTCTCAACATAACCCTTTATTCGCTGTCCATAAACTCAACCATGACACTTGCGCCCTTGAGACCGGCAGCTTCGACCGTTTCGTCTAGATGCTCGATGAGGTTCTTGCCCATGAAGGAAAGATCAAACTCGGCGCCTTGCTTGCCTTCCCAGGGCACATCAGACTTGATCCACTCGTACACGCGGCGGACAGGATCTGCGAGGTTGAATCGGCGGACAATAGGTCGGCCCGATGGGCCTCGGAACTGAATGCGCGTGGTTACCTTTGGATCGGTAACCGTGGGCTCAGTGTGAGGAGCCTGTGCGGAAATAGCAGCAAAAGCTGGATTTGACGGAGCAGCCTCTGGCTCTGGTTCTGGCGCGGCTTCTTCAGCTTTGCCCTTGCCCTTGATGTTGTCGGTCGATTTGGTGAGAGCATCAGGGTCGTCTTCCTGTGGGCCTTTGCCATTCTCCAAGCTGTTTTGCAGTGCCATCTCCAACATCTCCTCCTCGGTCATACGGTTAACGTCCTTTTTCTTCGACTCTGACTTTCGCTTCGCCACCGGGTTCTTTGCGTTGACGTTCAAGCTGTAGCGGTCGAGGAATTCGTGGAGCTGGGCGTGGAACTCGACGGCCTCGGGTATCGGTGGGCCTGACCATACTTTGACCTGTTCGCCAGTTCGAGGGTCGACAATAGCGATGTGTGGGTAAGCGTCTGAGCTGTCGCGAGCGTGGAAGTAGTAGTTCATATACTGTTGTCCACGCTGATCGTCCTTTGCGTACTGCAAGAAGATGAAGTTCTCGCGGACAGTGGCTTTGATGTCTTCGTTCTTCCAGATGTCTCTGTTTAGGCGCTGGCAATCGAAGATTGCTGGGTCTTGGATATTCACAAGCAGCCACTTCTCCTCATCCTTTCCCATGTCGCGTGCCTTCTCCCATGATCCTTGATACATTATTTCAAACGGTGGCCGGAATAGCTCCGCGAGCATATTCATCTTAGAAGACTGCTCGGACGCACCTCCCGTTGCGGTCGCAAGCTCTCGTCGCCGCGTGCTCGAATCTGTGGTAGTGTCCCAAACGTTCGTGTGGGTTGTGTGTTGGTTGAAGATGCCGGCGCGGCCTAAATTTGAATGGGTCAGTCAATTGTAAAAGTGGCATGTGAGAAGTGCTACATACCAGTTCGACGGCGAGCCAGCTGTTCTTGCACTAGAGCATCTATGTCCTCCTCTTCGTCGGCAGGGCCCCAATTGGAACCAGGGCCAACCAGAGTCTCTGTTGTCCGTTGCATAGGCGCGCGAACTTCGTCGACGCCAGCTCCTCCAGGTCCACCACCGCCGTACATCTCCTCTTGTAACCGCCGCGCCATGGCTTCATCGTCCTCGACACCAGGTTGGCTTCGTGCAGGCGGGTTTGCTCCCGACGGAGCGGCATCAAATTCCATGTCATCGTCGGAATCGATATTTATGGGATTCTGGGCAGTGGCGGCTGGTGCAGGTTGTGATGGTGCGGAGGGAGTGAAGTCAAGCCCTGGAGCATCGAAGAACAGTTGTATAGCCTGTTCAAAGTTGCCATCTGTCAATCGCAGATACTGCGCGGCCTTCTCAGGGTCACACGAAGTGATGCTGCAGAAATTGAGCACAGATTCCTCATCCATCTTGGGCGCTTGTTTGCGTTTTGCTCGCCAGTGATTACGCCGAACGAGAAGTACTGGGCGTAGGGCCGTGTGTTTGAGCGACTGGCGCAAGGAACGAAAGGCTTTACGAGTACGGAAAGCTATTCCGGGGGGACTGTCTGAGTCTGGAGTGTGAGTTTACAAAGGAGGGAGCCCAGGAATTATGTGTGGCGGTTGCGACTGCGGTGCAAGTAGAACCGTGGCGGGGCAGAGTACTATGTACCTTTGAAACTTTCCGATCAACAATAATCGGACACGCTGTACCCACGCAGAGAGGCGACGATGTACAGGTCAGGCGAAGGAGAACCTTGAGTAAGAGCGGATGCGCTGCACAAGGTGAGGTTTGCGTGTGGTGCGTGTCAATATGACTGCTGGGCGGATGGCGACAGGCGCAAGCTCGGCTTGTTTGGCTATTTTGGTACACAGAAACAGTCGCGGGGCAAAGTGTCACCGAAGGAGGCGAATTGCAGCTCCGGATGTGGTTGTAGGAGGGAATTAGAGTAGGAGACGTCGACTATGGGAGAATCACGTCGAAGACGCGGTGCGTTTGTTCACAATGAATGCAGGCAGCGGCGAGTGCGTCATTCGGGACCCCGTGCGGCAGACCCCTGTCGCCTCACTGGTGAATGTCCGACACACGACATGTGGCAATCACCGCGAATACACTACGCCCCTCTTGGCCTCTATCCCGCCGGGTCGTCCGTCTTTCTCGCCAGCCGACAGGACACGTCCTCCGTTTCTGCCTGTCGTCTTTGCCATATTTAGGCCTCTGGTTTGATCGCCAAAAAAGCCGTTTGCATCTGCAGCACCACTACCACAGGCCGACCGATTTCCAACATGGCGGCAGAGCCAACTCCAGAAGCTAAAGAGCTTTCCCTAGTGGGAAAGGTCGAGATGCGCATAGCACTCGCCAGTTCAGACAAGAAACTTGAAGACTTGCTCAAGACCTATCTTCCGCCGCTGCTGTTGAAGCTCGGGTCAGAGAGTGCCGCTGTGCGCAATAAGGTAAGAGACTTGATCATGAACACATTCTGTGGCCCCTGTTTTCCTTGGTCGCCGCTGATGGCGGTTCCCTAGGTTATTTCCATTTGCCAGCACATCAATACGCGCATCAAATCACAGTACGCATTTCTTGTTCGCCATAGTCGCCGAGATCCATCAGCTGACGCAATCCTACAGAGATATCAAGCTCCCAGTGAGCGCTCTTCTGAAACAGTACAAAGAACATGGGCATGTCGCCCTCATCCGGCATTTCGACATTCTCTACATCCAGCAGGGCATATCGCGTCTCTCCGTAGCTGAGCGGTTGGAACTTCTCCCGGTGTTACTCCAAGGTATCGCCAAGGATTATGAGAAATCCGAACAGCATGCCTCTCAACTGTTTCATCTTATTCTGCGCCTTTTGGTCCTCTTCAAATTACCTCTCCGAGGTAGTAAAGAAGACGACGAGCTGAGAGCGACCTTGGGTCTCTCCGATGACGACGCACATTTCCTCTCCAAATGGTTTGGAAAACTACTTTTGTTGACTATTGTGCGAACAAGCAATCCGCAAGATACCGCATCTTTAAAATGTCCCGGGCTTTCCTCTGAAGAATATAAGTTCCTTACACTTCAAGGAAAGCCAGACGCTTGGGACCCCAGTGCAGATGCTGGTCTCAATCTGCCTGAATCAAAAGCCTTAGTCGCGCGACTCATGGCAAGTGGGCTGTTCAACGATGACGAGAAGTTCTTACCAGCACTATTTGCATCCGCTGATACCAATTCCCGGATATCTGAGGTTGGTGAGGATACTTTGAAGCGCGTCATGCTATCCAAAGACATGGATCAAGCGGAACTTGTAGAGAGCTTGTTCGAGCTCTACTTCGGCTCTAGTTCAGCTAGCGGGTCGCTTCCTGTAAAAACACCGTTGCGCATCAAGATTTTAACTGTTCTCTCAAAGTCTGTGAAATGCACAACATACCCACGACAAATAGCAAGGATTGTTGAAGAAGGCCTTCTCTCGCCCGAGCTGAATGCGACCAACAAGACTGCTGGGAGAGAGGCCTCGAAGTTTCGCTCAGCTATATTTTCTCTTGTCAACTTTGTTGCCCGCCGTGGATCGGTATCGGATTTGTCTCAAGTTGCTGAGAGTCTTGTTGGAAATCTGAGGGCTTTCATTCAAGACCAAGGCTGGCCAACCCCAGACCGCGACCAAGATATGGAGCTTCGGGGCTACGGCTATGAAACTATTGGACTCTTGGCCAAAGCTGCCCCAGAAAAAATACTATTGGAGCCATCGCTTGATCTTCTGGAGTTTCTGTTCCGATCATTACGTGAAGATTCAGCCGGCAAAGATGTGGCGGTTAGTATAGAGGAGGCCCTTTCCTCTGTGCTCGGAGCGTTCTCTAAACCATTCGATGCTGCAATTATGCCCAGATTCAGACAAATACTGCTCCGATATGCCACTGTAGATCAAGAGAATACTCCAGCCTCGGACAAATTCACGAGAAGTACTCGCTATGTTGCCACACGTTTCGCGAATCGCTGCCTTCCCTACGCAGACGTCCTTGCACGATGGATAGACATCCTTGCTGTTAGTGGGGGTCCAAACGATCGACACGAGTTGATAGAGGAAGGAAGGCGAGGTCTTGACCCCTATTGGTTCAGAATGTCCAACACTCCGCCCGGTGAGCGCGAGCAGAACAAGTTGGTTTTTCCAGACTTTGACAAACTTGTCAACTTTATCATTGCGCAACAAGGACAGGATGTCGACGCAATGGAGATCGACCCGTCAGAAGACGCTCTTGTTCAGGTTAGATACTTCCAGCAAGAATTCCCAACTGCTCTCCCAACCGTTATCAGCTTCTGCTCTAGCGTCGCTATGCAATCTGCTTTGGTCGAGAAGGGTATAGATCAAGATATCCCGGAAGATTGGGAGAGAAAGCTTGATACACAGATGACTACAGATATGCGCGCTCGGCAAGCATTTCGTGCGTACGCGGCAAAGGACACCCATGCCCGCTGTCTGGCGGTGTTATTACGCGCCAGCTTCGACAGACTCACACGAGACGATGTTAGCGACATCGGAGATATTGGCACCACGTTTGTGCGAATACTTTCCTTGCTCCCACAGCAACATTGGGTGCAAGCAAAAGTTGTCCAAGATTTCCAGGAACTGCGACGATCGATCGTATCAAATAATCCTGCTCGACGTCTTGCTGCTGCGCACGCATACGGCCTGTTAGCGTCACACGAGAGCGCTGATCAGAATGCACTACAAAGCGAGCAAGTCACCTTCTTTGAAAAGTTGGACACTTGGAAAACAGCAATTGGTGCTGATATCAACCAAATTAGTGGCATTATCCTGGCCCTCGGCTACTACTACAGTAGGAGATTTTGGAGGGAGAACGCCGCATCACCCGTCATCACGGACGACCATCCTATCCATCAGCTGGTTCGCTCCCTGGTTGCTATCATGCAGGAATCTCGAGACGCGACATTGAGGAATGCAGCTTTTAGTTGCATCGACCAGCTTAGCCTATTTTATGTGATCACCCCCTCACTGCTTTCTAAATATGCCAAGGTCGAAGATATCGCCCAACAGATTTATGACTCTGCCAAGACGGGCACAACAAGTGCGATACTGGCATTGGGTCATTTGTCTATGATCACTGAGGAAGCCGAGCCCGGCTCTGATGATGCACCCGACTACAAATCCATACAAGATAAGATGTATGAGCTTCACGAGGTGCGTCAACCAGAGGTTCACTTCTCGGTGGGCGAGGCTTTGAGCTGTCTCGCAAGCGGTTGGGAATCGAAAGCTTTGACTGCTGAGCTAGATGTCTTGGATCCGAACCAGCCTGTAGAGCCGTGGGACGCACCTCTCAAAACGCCGTCTGGACCCAAACGGGAAAAGACGCTTGGGGTGGTACTGGAAAAGACCTTGAAGGGCTGTGTGCAGACGAAACCATCCCTCAAGAAAGCATCAGTGATATGGCTGCTGTGTCTACTCCAGTATTGCGGACACAAGTCTGAGATGCAAGGTTATCTTGGGCAATGCCAGGTCGCATTCAAAAACTGTCTCTCTGACCGCGACGAGGTTGTACAAGAGGCGGCCTCACGAGGACTTGGATTAGTCTATGAAAAGGGAGATCGACAGCTGAAGGATGACCTTGTCCGCGACTTGGTCGGTTCATTTTCAGACAACAAGTCGAAGATGGCGGGTACTGTCACAGACGACACGCAGCTCTTCGAGCCTGGCGCGTTACCCACTGGCGACGGCTCTATTACGACCTACAAAGATATCTTGAACTTGGCAGCTGAAGTCGGTGACTCGAGTTTAGTTTACCGCTTCATGTCTATGGCTTCAAATAATTCTATCTGGTCTAGTCGGGCAGCGTTTGGACGATTTGGACTAAGCAACATTTTCTCGGACTCAAGCGTCGATGGCTACCTTGCACAAAATCCTAAACTATATCCGAAGCTCTATCGATACAGGTATGAATTGTAAAGGACAACTGTGACAGATTACTGCTGACCAATCTTCAGGTTCGACCCCAATACCAATGTGCAGCGTTCAATGAACGACATTTGGAACGCCCTCGTCAAGGACTCTTCGGCAACTATAGACAAGCATTTTGATGCGATCATGGATGACCTTCTTGTCAGCATACTCACAAAAGAGTGGCGAGTTCGCCAGGCTTCTTGTGCTGCCATTGCAGATCTGGTACAAGGACGCAGCATTGACAAGGTGAGCATTCATTTCAATTGTGATGCCTACTCTAACAGTGTGTTGCAGTACGAGAAGTACCTCGATGCTATATGGGAAAAGACCTTCAAGGTCCTGGATGATATCAAAGAGACAGTCCGCGTGGCTGCAGCGTCCCTTGCTCGTGTCCTCACTGGCATTTTAACCCGCTCTTTGGAAGCCGGAGATTCATCATTGAAGTCTGCAACGGTTCAGCTTGAACGCGTAATACCTTTCCTCTTTTCAAACTCCGGCTTAGAGTCTTCAGCCGAGGAAGTTCGCCTCTTCTCCGTACATACTCTCCTTCAGATTGTGAAGAAGAGTAACGCAAAGACACTCAATCCACATGTACCTGAACTAGTTGAGCGCCTACTCGGTTTACTCAGCAGTCTGGAACCAGAAGCAGTCAACTACGTACATCTCAACGCCAGCAAATACAACCTTACAGAGCAAAAGATTGACGACATGCGCCTCGCCAGCGTACGTCAGTCGCCATTGACGGAGTCTGTAGAGCGCTGTCTCGACCTCGCAGATGCAGAGACTATGGCTGCACTGGTGCCACGCATCGAAGCTGCGATGAAGAACGCAGTCGGCCTACCATCAAAAGTCGGATGTTCGCGCATACTCGTCACGCTCGCCACACGCCATCGCTTCCTATTCAACCCCTATGCCGACGGATTCCTGAAGCTAATCCAGAAGCAAATCCACGACCGCAACGATACAGTCAGCTCATCATATGCAGCAGCAGCAGGCTACCTCGCCCGCCTAGCATCCGACAAGCAAATCCTCTCCACCTTCGCCTTTGTCAATAAACTCTACTTCGAATCTGAGGAAAACAGCGACAGAAACCGCTTACTAGCCGCAGATATCATGCGCGCCATCAGCTCCCACGCAACCGACCGCTTCAACTCTTTCGCCGCCGATTTCTTGCCCTTCATCTTCCTCGCCAAACACGACTCGGAAGAACAAATCCGCAAGAGCTTCGGCGAAACATGGGATGACCATGTTGCTGGACCCCGCGCTGTAGCCTTGTATCTAAAGGAAATCCTCGCGCTTTCAGATACGCATCTCGAAAGCAGACAGTGGGCTATCAAGCACACGGCTGCCAAGACAGTCGCAGATTGTGTGCTGCAAATTACGAATGCGGTTGGTAGTGAAAAGATTGATGCGGCAACTGCGAAGACCATCTGGCCTGTGTTGGATAAGGCGCTCAGCGGGAAGAGCTGGGACGGCAAGGAAGTCGTGCTCGAGGCTTTTGTGCGATTCGTAGAGCGTTCTGAGGCGTACTGGATGGATGCAGGGAACAAGGATATTGCGAACCAGCTCGAGAAGGTGGCGACGCGGGAGAGTAAGAGACAGGAAGGGAAGAATGAGAAGGTTGTTGCTGGGGTTTTGGAGAAGCTGAGGGGACATTTGGGGGCTTAGTAGGGTGTTGCTGATTTGCTTTTGTGAAAAAGCCTCCTTTCTTTGTTTAGAAATATATACAGCTTTCGAATCCTGGGAAAATATTTTCGTTTCAAGCCCCCTTATCCTGCTCCAATGCCTTCTCCAACGCCCGATCCGCACTCACTTCCTTCTCTGCCCCTTCAATCACACGTCTCAGCCCTTTCGCGCACGCCTCCAACTGGGCTTGCTCCTTCTCATCCAGCTGGATTGGCATCGCCCGTATAATACCCTTTCTACCTATCACTGCGGGCATGCTTAGACAACAACCTAGCTCTGGCTGATAGAATGACAGTGGGCGCACAGAACGTGAGTCAAATAAGATGTATTTGCAGATGCTAGCGGCAATGTTGCCGATTCCGAATGCGGTGCAACCTTTGGCAGCGATGATCGCACCCGCCGCACCGCGTGTGTGGGCCGAGATGCTTGCTTTGAAGTCCTCAGTCAGGGTTGAAGGAGGAAGTGCAAGAGAGAGGGGTGTTGTGCCGATTGTGGCAGAGGACCAGGCGATCTGCTTGATATTAGCATCGTCTTACGCCCCAGAATCTTTTTCTCCTCCAGATGTTCATGAGCCGATGTGAAATTGTAGAAGCCATGATAAGTGTTGATCGAATAGACTTTTCCTGTTGACAGTGGTGAAAGTAACAAGGAAGAAGAATGGAGAAAAGACTCACAAACTGACTATCCCCATGCTCCCCCAAAACATACGCATCAATACTATTCGGCGCGACCTCCGCCTTCTCCGCCAACACGCCCCTCAACCTCGCAGAGTCCAGACTCGTCCCCGTGCCCAATACCTGGCTCTCGGGCAACCCACTCATCTTCCTCGCAAAATACGTCAGTATATCCACGGGATTTGCCACAAGCAGTAAAATCGTATGCGGATTCATCGGCGCCATGGCACCGAATATGCTTTCAAGAATGTGCAAGTTGCGACTTAAGAGTGAGAGGCGCGATTCACCGGGCTTCTGCTTAGCGCCAGCGGTAATGACGACAATGTCTGCTTGCCCGGCTTCGGCGTGCGTGGCGGCACGCACGCGGACGCCGCTGCCGCCGCGGTAGGTGGCGTCGGAGAGGTCGCGGACTTGGGCTTCGAGGAGGGAGTGCTTGAGGTCTACGAGGAGGACTTCGGAGCAGATGGGTTGCAGGATGAGCGTGTAGGCAAGGGTGGAGCCTACGTCGCCGCAGCCGAGGATGGCGATTGTGGTTTTGAGTTTGGGTTGAGTCATTGTTTTATGTTCTTTCTTTCGATGCCGGGTTGTTTTTGATGATGGTGGTGGTGATGTTCTTTATTGTTTTGATGGAGTAGGATTTGGCAAGGGCCCTGGAGTGGTTGTGGGAAAAAGCAAATATGTTCTGTTTTCTAGGTCCGGTTATGGCAGGTAAAAGGGATTAAAGTAAGAAGAGTGAGTGAAAGTATGGGAATATTATATAGACTACACTTTCCATAGGTAGGCTCGGATAGTCGTCCGTTGTCCTACGTTGCCAAGAGCTAGGCATGCGAAATGTGGCGTGACGCCACCCTGCAGATGGTAGGCTCAGCCACTTAACATGCGCTTTATCCCACTGTATTAGTTGAATAACAGCATTGCATGACAAACATATTCGCCAATTGAAAATGTGTGCAGGCATTTGATGTACCGCAGATATACCGTGGCAGTAGTTTAGTAAAGTTACTATAGTTGTTCCACGGACCGCTAAGCATACTTCAAGCATACTTCATCCCTCGATATAACGTCTCTTGACAAGAACGCTTGAACCTCACATGAGTATCCCTTTCGCTGCACTGGCTCTATGTAGAGACTGATATCCCTCACACGATCTAACCGTCATCGGGGAATGAGGATCTTCGTATCTTAGGTAGCCTTGATCTGACGGGTGAGAGAAGTTGTATTTAAAGCTAATTAAGGTGAATTACAATGAAGTAGTTTGTCAAGAAGACAATGATCATAGAGAGATGAACTTATATCCGCATAAAACTAAATAAAACGACTTCTGGAAAACCTCATGGAAGCTGGGTAAAGAAAAGAAATCTCTTACTCATGCCCTTCCAACCAGATCACCTGATACTTTCCTGCACCCACATATCCACAAATTGATAGAGATGATTGCCTTATCAGCTTTATCATTCCGGTCCTACACTATTGCACTCCTAGAAAGCAAGTTTGATGCCTTCAAACCAGGGGTGTTCCAACGCCTGAGCAGTAAATCGTCGTGAGGGGTCCAGATTATTCAATCCTCGGACCAAGTCCTTGAACGTCGAATCAACACCCGTCCGCTCTTGAAACGGCACATATGGGTGGGAATCTGAGACTCGATCTCCCCAGTGTAACTTAGGAGCCAAGCGCTTGAGCCCCGTATCCTCATCTTCGACAAGCTTAATATGCTCCATGAGAGCATCTATTCCTTCTTGGTCACTAAAACATGAAACCCGAAGCTGCCGGCGGATGCTCAATTTTGATGCACCTTCTGATTCTTGTGACTCAAAATCGGCATCGCGGCCTAGTATAACCCGCCCCAGGACAGTATAGATTCACTTCACACGTTGGCAGTGGAACTATCTTACTTATGTTAGCACTTACTACAAGCCCTAATGAAAATAGGTCAGTTAGCTTGTTAAGCGCTGCTATAAAGTTGGCTTTAGGGCTACGCCTGTTATTGTTCCCAGCCATGGTTCCTGTAACCCAGACATCCTTCGGGAGGTGACCTACACACTCAAAATCGGAGATCTGCACCTTCTCAACCAAGGTATTCTAGTAAATCCTATAGTAGTTGATCAAGAAGTTATTAGCTTTAATATTTAAAGAGAATTAACCATTCATGTTGGCATTAGGGAGAGCCGGAATATTATGTTTACCTAAATGGACAATATCGTTGTCGTACACATCTACAATACCATGCAATATGGCTTTCAGGATTTTTTTTCGAGCTAGTAAAGATACCTGATCCTAAGCTAGACTTAGAAGGTCTTTATCTAGGTATTTGTATACGAGTATGGGTCGATCAGGTATAGTATCTACTGGCAGTCGAACGCGAGGAGTATGAGGAAGTCTCGGTCGGATATCCTCGTTGAAGCTCAAAAAGATGTTTTTACATATGTCCTTTAGGATAAACTTCTCATTTATGGATCTTTAAAAGTATTGATTATCAGAGGAAGTACAATATGGAAGGTAGTTCGAAAGATGCCAGCCAAACGCGACTACTACTATGTGGTCTGTCCTAGATCATCACCCTATCACCCTATTACTAATAGGCTAGACTCATCTCACCAGCTACGGCGCTGCACATCTCGAAACTGGTATAAAACAACTCATACAGCCC